TGATTTCATGCAACGGTTGCAACAACCTTAAAAAACTATGTTAGAACCATTTGTTTGATCCAAATTTTGAAATATATACTCTTTTTATTTTGAAAGAAATTTGAAAACGGTACTTCGAAAGTATTTTTTTAGCCCAATTACATAGGCCATCTATTTTTATAAGATGCTTAGATCTAGGTCTTAGAAGGATTTTTTTCTTTTCCAATTTTTTTAGATGACTTTATTATCATTACATGAACAATGTTAAAAAAGAAAAAAAAATGATTTTGAGTTTGTAAAGGCTAAGATTTTGAAATTCACCAAATGAATGGTCGTTGTTGAAGGGGACTCATTTTGACCATATCTAAGGTCCAAATTGAACTTTTTTTGTTTGGGGGTTGATTATTGAGATGAAGAGAGTGTGTGTGTAAAATTTTGAGTCATTAAAATACCACAAACATGATTTTCTAGAAGTGTGGTTGCATCATACTATGATACAACCATTGCATGAAATCACTGGTGGAATCAAATGAATGAATTACAAGAACGTATCGTGATCAATCAAGATGCATATGCTATTCAAGAAATGATGCTCGGTGCCTTAGGATATGTGCAACATTTAATGTTGTTGTTATGTGTAGCCAATGGTTGCTTATTTGTACATTTTTGTTTTTTTGTTTTATACTCCTTTTGAGGAGCAGTTGATAGTCCTACAAGAAACAATACAAGCTCATGTAATGGCTTGGGTGTATTTTTATTCGTTAAATAGAATCAAGGTAAACTTCGACGATTATTTTATTGTTTTTCATCTTGTGCTTTTTAACATATTGTTAAATTTGTGCAATATTTCTTTTTTCATTTTGGTGGAGTATCTATCTGCACGCAGATAACGTATAACAATATTGAGTGATCATGACATCCCCATCGCAAGGGCCTATATACAATTTTGTAAAGTTTGCATAATCAACGCAAAAGGCAATTACAAAAAAAAAGACAAAATATTACTACTCTGCATTCATATAGAGAAATGTCTTTTATATGAAAGCATGTCCTTTTCCTTTCTGAGCAGTTGATATTTGGAATGTTAACCATTCATTTTAGGGGCACGATTCAACATAAGTCATGTGTTTTCTATGTAGTTTATTTTTTCTCCAGATAATAACCTCTCTCACTATGTTAAGTGCTCATAATTAACTGGTGTTTATTCATTTTTTATATTGGGATATGGATATGTCGGGTTCATATTGATATACATCATTATGTTTATGTATATGTATATATCTCTTGATAAGGTTAGGTATATAGAAGATAAAAACCAAGTTACTTGGTTATCAAGTTATTATATCATATTTATCTCCTCTAATTGTGTGATTATCATAAGGTTAGATATATAGAAGATAGAAACTTAGTTATTTGGTTATCAAGTTATTATATCATATTTATATCCTCTAATTGTGTGATTATCCTCTATATATAGATGTACTCATTGATGTACAAAAAAATAGTAAAAATGTAGCCAATTGGACTTTGGATTCATGGATGTAATGTTTCGGCTTGAACCACATAAATACTTTCTAACATAGTATCATAGCAAGGTTATATGAATACCTTCTTAACCCTGGTGTTGACATCCTCTTCAGATCCAAACCTTCGTAACCCTGGTGTTGATATCCTCTTCAGATCTGGGTATATGAATACCTTCTTAACCCTGGTGTTGACATCCTCTTCAGATCCAAACCTTCTTAACCCTGGTGTTGATGTCCTCTTCAGATCTAACTAGGGCCGGATGCCCAATAAATTGGGTATGCTTAGCAGAAGTGCTATTTCCCATGGGTCCATTCCCAAGAGCTGTGGTCACTGTACTTTTTTGAAGCTGAAGAGACTCACCCATGCTTTTAGACACGAACATCTATTCCATTCTTTACTTTGGCTATCTCATTACTGTCTGTAACATCATTGACTCATTTATGTACATCGATTCTTCCAGTACCATCATCGAGGATGAATTGCACATCCATCAATTCTTCCAATACCATCATCGAGGATGAATTGCACATCCGTGACCCTTTCCACTTTATTAGCCACCATTCCAACCAACCTAACATTGTTTGATTCCAGAACTTCGACGCGCAGCGCGAGAATTATTGTATGATAATACTTGGCTTATCTGCTTCACCGTCATGGGTATCAAGGTGCTATTACCACGATTCCTGGATGAAGAGGGAGAAGGTTCAGAGGATTGAGTAGAATCCTTGAGCAAAATTTATTGCGTGCACGGGTTTGTTGCCATGCTAAAGTCTCTTCGTTTTGGGCTCGTTTTGGGCTTGTTTCAACAGCAAGAAAATTTTTTTGAAGAAGTAGACAAGAAAAAAAAATGGGTGGTATTTTTTTAAGATCTTCTAAAAGCCCAATTTCATTGGCATTTTTTTTGATATAATTGTACTAAAAAAAGAGTATAGGAGATCTAGTGAATAAGATATATGGAGATGAGATGAAATCAACATCTTTAATGTAACCACTATGTAGACAAGAAAATCCAGATTCTGACTCAGTTCAACTACTATGAAAAGTTATGGTCATATTGATTCAAGATTTCCCTCTCTAGATGAGGAGATGAAGATAATCTCTCTAGATGAAGAGATGAAGATGATCGAATTTCTCGATCCTGATTGATGATCAAGTTTTCTATTACTTGATCCCGTTTGTTGATGATGT